AGCTTAACCTGTGTCTGTCGATGTGTGCTTCCTGTGTCTGTCCACGTGTGCTTTCTGTGTCTGTCCACGTGTGCTTTCTGTGTCTGTCCACGTGTGCTTTCTGTGTCTGAGGACCTCAGGCTTAGAGACTGTTAGAGAAACTTGGACCTGCTTTCTCAGGTCTGGAATGAGGCAGAGTGAATGAGAGTTTGCAGTGAGGAGGCGAGGCAACGAAGACCACCATGTAGTAAGATTCAGATTGGAAGGCTCAGAGCCACAGCTTCTGTGACCCCATAAGGATTTAAATCCAGAAAGTGCGTGCATATTTTCATGGCTAAATCTTGACAGTCGCAGGAAGAAAGGGAACCATTAGCACTGTGCTCCCCGCTCAGTGGGGGCCGTGCTCAAGGCCTGGCTGCTGCCTGCAGGTGGGCAGTGCAGGACCCCTGCGGATACACAGCGCTTTTCCTACCACACCTGATTACGGTGAGAGCTGTGGTGACGCTGGGAGCCCCGAGAACGTTGGGCTCCGTTCCTGGTCTCCCTGCACATGGCAACCTGTGCCAGCCCACGGGCTTGACTGGTGAGAAAGCCGGGGAGGACTGCAGTGAGGGTCTGTCGAGGGTGCTTGCTTTTTCTCTCATGAGTAAATAGATAAGTAAGCTTAAAAAAAAAGAAAGAAGGACCAAAAGAGGAACAATAATAATAAAGTGGAACAGTTATAAATGTGTATTTTATGCATCCATGGAAAGGCTAGACATTTCCAATAACTTTATTCTTTACAAAATATATAAATAAATAAAACCATTCGACTTTTAAAATATTACCACGTGCAAGAAGGTGTTGCTTCCAGCACTCTGCCGTACTGGGGGGCGTGCTTCTTCTGTCCTTCATCCCCTGACTGGGACTAAGCTGTGGTATGACACCGTCACCAGGGTCAGCTCAGACACGCAAGGGCACAAAGCCATGTCCACACGAAGAACGCCGGCCCGCAACGTGCCAGGAGAGGAGCCTACTGAGTTTTGCACTCGGGAACATCTTTTCCTGCTGTGGCGTGCCAGGGACGGGGCTGAGGATCCACGTTCTCTGCTCCTGTGGTCTCTTCCTCTGAGGAGAAAACAACAAAGATAATCCTAAAAGACCCCACGAAACCCTCACGTGTAACTGCAAGGAGGAAGGACATTAAGACAGGAGACGCCTGGGACCAGCAGATGAGGTAATGGTTCCATCTCTGAACTCTCACTCAGTTGACCATAGTTCAAGTCCTGGACCCAGTGGCTTAGTTAAAACTCATGCCAGGCGCATGTGCTCGTGTGCGTGAAATCCCGAGAAGGGATTGCGGTGTGGCATCCACTGGTGGGTGATTTCTTGCTTTCTGTCTGTCTCTGTCTCTCCAGTGAGCGCACGCACCCTATAGCAAAAGTCTCTCCCTAAAAAAAAAGATTGGAAACACCCGAGGAATGACAACGGCAAGGTGGCCCTTGTGTGGGTCATTACAAGGGTAAGTTCTACCTCATCGGAGGTGGAGAAGTACATTCCTATCTGATCATAAATGAATTATTAGAAAAACCGTATTACACATAAACTAGGAAAGTAATAAAGTTTTATTTGGAATTTATCAATTTGAGATTCAATGTGACTCAAACACAAACTACCTGAGTTTGCTTTATTTAGTTCTATTTAAAAAAAAATCTTATGCAGGGCTAGCAGGTGGTGTGGTGAAGGTACTGGATTCCCACATTGCCCATCACGATTTGAGTCCTGGACCTGGCAGCTTGAAAAGCACAACAAAGCGGGGCTGCCCGGTGGCATGGTGATTAAGGGTGCTGGACTCCCACGTGGCCGACTGCAGTTCAAGTCCTGGACCTGGCAGCTTGCTTTCTCATTTTTCCTCTGTGTTGCTTTCTCACTCTCGCTCTGTCTGTCTCTGATCAAATTAAAAAAATAAAAGGTAAATAATTAAATAAATAACACTAAATAAAATAATTCTTAAAAAAAGAAATCTACAACAAATAGACAAACGTTAAAAAAAAAGAATTAGAATATATCTTATGCTAAACTAATAGTATGTATTTTAGAAAATATGTAGTCATCTTTGGAATACTTTCTGAGAGCCTTTACAAAGCACTTTGGTTGCATCTTTGTTTATCAACAATATTCATTCTTAAAGTATTATATTCATAAAAGTAAATCCAGCATAGCAGGTCTGGGAGTTATTCTAATTTGCTGATTTAGATTACCTTTTGTAATTAAAAGTAAACACGTTAGCATTTTGTTTGTTTGTTTTTTGTTTTTTTCCTTTTTGGAGAAGTCTTTGGTAGTGGCTGCATGTGCTTGCCAGAGAGAGACAGAAAGTGAGAAATCACCTCCCAGGGGGGATGGCCACACTGCAGTCCCTTCTCCTTCATTCTCCTCCTGGGATCCTGGGCATGCATGCACATGTGCCCGGCATGAGTTTAAGCCACTGGGTCTGGGACTTGAAATGCAGTTGACAATGTGGGAATCCAGCGACATAGCCATTACGCCAACTGCTGGTCCCACGTTAGCATTTTAAAAGACTAATATTACTAATTCGAGCTGGGCCTCTCTCCTTAATCTTGAGTTGGTAGGTTTTTGATTATTTACACATTCCACTAGTCTTACTCTTTTATTTCACTTAAAACCAGTACCAGTGAGCACTGTATTAATAAAAAAGACTAATATTTTTATTTATAGTTGGATAAATTCATATGACACACGTGCTTCTGGCACTATCAGACAAAATCAGAAGGTGATTATAAAGGCTTCTCAGTTTTCCCAAGGACTCTTCTTAAACAGTGGGTGTGTGGCTGGAGTCCCGTGGAAGTGCTAGCCGACGAAGGTCCTTAAATACTTACCAAGTACTGTACTTCAGCGAAGAGAATAATTCAAACATTTTTCAAAATGGCGTTGTGCCTAACAGTACCCCTAAGCTTTCAGACCGTCGCAGGTCTAATTTGGTAGGGAGCTGACTGCAATGGCTGAGTTCTCGTGGTCCCAGGGGGACATCTAACAAGCCCTGGCAACCTGTCACGGCTGGCTGGCAGCTGCCTCTCTTCCTGTCATTTACCTTTCCTCAGGTGTGTGAGCAGGTCCTGCTGACAGGTACACTGTCACAGAAGGTTTGGCTGCACACGGTGAGAGACACTGTGTCACAGAGCTGCCCTCCACATTCCCACCTCTGGGACAGCTCCCCTGCAGAGCCGGGGGGTTCTTCATAGCTCCCTATCCCTTCAGTCGACTGGTCAGGTGCCTTGAGCTGCAGATGCTACCTCGGATGGTTCCAGCCTGTCCACTTCCCTCCATCTTGGCCGGAACCGGGCCGCCATCATGCCTTGCTCCACAGCTGCATCGACTCTCACTCTAGTTATCTGTGACCTTTCAGTGGGGTGATCCTTCCAGAATCTGTAACTCCCCTGCTCCCCTGCCGCTGCTTCACATCTTCTAAAGACTGACTCTACATGTTCTCAGGATAAGCAAAAAAGTTCCTCTACGCATTGTACAAAAGTCCCCTGTCCCGGGATGGGGAGTCTCTCTGGCCTTCCTGACCTCATACACACAAGCCTGGATTTGCTCTGCTACATCGCCGATTTTTTCCAAATTTTCTGTTCCCGGTCCCTGCTGCCCTCGGGCTATTGCTGTTCCATCTGTCCAAGATGATTTCCCCTCCCTTTTTGTTTTGCTAACTTATACTAACTTTAAAAAATATATATTAATTTAATTTTGTTTATTATTTCTTTTAGTTTGCTATAGGGCACATGTGTTCACCAGAGAGAAAGAGAGAGGGAAAGTGAGAAAGCAAGCTGCCAGGTCCAGGACTTGAACTGCAGTTGGTCACATAGGAGTCCAGCACCCCAACCACCATGCCACCTGCTGGCCCTGACATTAACCTTTTAGATTTCAGTTTCTTTCAAGGAACTTTCTCAACAGTCCCCAAAGGAATACTTATTTGATACCTCATGGCCTTTTGCACTGCTAGAATTTCATTAATTTATTTTTTCGACAACTTGATGACTGTCTGCACCCCCCCCTCCCCAGGCTGTGAGCTCGCATGAAGACATTAGGGTCTAACATATGATGCACAGAAGAGGCTCAGAAAATGCTGCTGACAGACTGACTGAGTGAACGAGTAAATGATACCAGTCCAGGTCTGGCTTAGAGAAGATGCATATAATGCCACCGAATGTTCTGGACCACTGCGTTGATAAGAAAGACCTTCATGGTAGTGTCTTCATGTCCTTGAGTTGCTTGTCTATCTTTGGCAAAAGCTGAGGGTTTAAGGAAGGATAAAAACTTTGCTTGGGATAAAAACTGCTCTTCCATGTTTTGCCTCAGAGAAACGGCCTTTCTTATACCAGGCGGAGGCCTTTGCCCTGCGGCTTGCTCAACTAGGTCGTCTCTTGTCTAAGCATGCCCTTTGGAACCACACAGCAAAGACAAGCTTCAGTTATTACCCTGGATTTGCAAGCAATCAGCACGTTGACCTACCTGGGCAGAGGCCTAGGCCCGAGTTATCAAAGTAGCGAACCGGGTGAGGCGACGGCAAAGACTTGGAGCGGTTGTCGAAGAACCACGACCTGGGCGGCTCCTGGGGCACAGTGTCCTGGGAGTTCCGCTCCTTGCACCAAGAGGGCGTCGTCTGCTTCTTTTTAGAAGTTGTTCCAGTCACTTTAGGAGACTTGGGAGAATTCTCACAAGTTATCTCTTTGCGAGCCTCTTTGTTGAGGGCTCTTTCCTTCATGTTTTTTAGCTCATTGGAAAGATACCTATTATTGCTTAATTGTGGAGGGAAAAAGAGAGACTGTTAGATGTCTCAATTCCTAATGCATTCACATTTATTGAGTTGTCGGAGAAGTCATGACATATTTTTTTCTATGCAAAAATTTTACCGTGACTTTTCTGACAACCTAATACATTAAACAGTTACGATGAAATACATATGGTATAAAATTTACCATTTTATCACATCTGAATTTTAATTTCAACCTGCTGCTTCTGTTTTGGACTACTTCTACAGTTCAGAAATTGAATGGACCTATATAAACTGAAAAATTGAGTAAACTTCCAGGATCACAGAAGCTCGCCAAGAAATTTGCAAGTACATTAGGTTTCCAAACAAATCAGTGATCTTATCGGGAGGTGTTATCTATTGATACTTTGCTACAATTGTTTGATATATCATTCTTCTGGGGAGATGAATCTTTGATAAAACTTTGTTACTTTATAAGAAATAATACACTGTATATTTCTAGATTCCATAGTTACAGTCTTGCTTCTTATAGGAAATGCTACCAGTATTCATCCAGCTCCTCAGACAGAACCCCAGGAAGCAGTCCTGCAGGACTCTCCTTTACTTCCCAGAAACCCCAGTCTGCGGATGCAATCCCATACCTGCCTCTAGGCTCACCTCCTTCTGCTCACCCCCGGTGCCATTCTAGTCTAAGCCAAAATTACCTTTTACCTCAACTTCCATAAACAGATTCCAAAATTGGGCTCCCCTATTAGGCTCTGGCTGCCAGAGGCTACATGATCTCATCAGGTCCCTCGGTGAGAACCCGCTAGTGCAGTAAGTCCTCCTGTGACATTCAGACCTGTGAGGGCCTGTGTGTCTGGATCCAGTTACCTCTGACACCTCACCCTGACCTTAGCCCGTCTCCTGGCCTCCACCCTGATTACACCGAACATCTTCTGGTTCCACCAAGGGCTTGCTCTTCCCGACTCCGAGCTGTGCATTTGATATCCCCTCACCTACAGCGCCTACCCCCTCTTCTAGCCTAAGCCCTACTCACTTTCAGACCTACCTTATATTATATATTAGTTTCCTGATTAGCACTCCTCTCCTAACACCTAGATAAGCTTAGATCCCCTCTCTTTCATCATGTCCCTTTGGATTTTTTTTTCTTGCTCTTGGTTTGCTTAATAGCACTCACTACAAAGAATGAGTTATTTGTGAAGTAACTGGATGCTCATTTTTCTTCTACTGTATCACTAGAGTATTAGGATCAAAGATTCTAAGCTATTGTGGTTCTATGGTGGTAGAAGCCACATAATTAAATTTTTAGAGCTATTTAAAAAGTAAAAGTAAATAGGCTACAATAGTGAACTTACACGCTGTCCTCAGAGTGAAGCCTGCTGACTGGGGTACATAAGCTCGGGTGTACTCCACTTGTCTCTTCACAGTGAAGCCTGCTGACTCGGGTACATAAGCGTGGGTGTACGCCACTTATCTCCTCACAGATCTTTCTTTACTTCCTGGTTCTTGACTTTGTTAAAAATAAGCAAGTTGGGGACCATCAGGTGGTGTGATGGATAAGGTGTGGACTCCCTTGTGGCTGACCATGGTTTGAGTCTCAGGCCTAGTGGTTTGAAAATCCACCTGTATGTGTGTATGCCCAAAATCCTGAGAGGAGAATGGAGCAGAAAGGACTGCAGTGTGGCCTTCCTCCTGGGGCGTGATTTCTCACTTCTTCCCATACTATCTCTGTCTGTCTCTCTCTGGTGAGCACATGCATCCTATGGTAAAAATCTAAAAACAGACTGGTTTGTAGATATTAAACACTGGGAATAGCACTACCATATTCTAAATTCTTTGAAAAAAGACACAGAGAAATTACTTTTCTCACAAAGTGTGAAGAGTCTGCCAACAGCGAAGAAAATGTGGATGTGCCACCCCCGGCATTTGAGAAACAGCACGGTACCTGCGTCAGGGAACAGATCTTACCTCAGGAGCTCACTCTTTTGCTTCATTAGCTGTTCATTTTGCTGCTTTAACTTGGACATTTCCTTTTCTAGCCGTATATATTCGCTTTTTAAGATAAGGGCTTTGGTGCTCTGAACAATGCCACTGCCACCCCCGCAGGTTAAGGGTTTACTGGAAGGTTGAGAATCAGCAGGTTCTGAGATCACTGTGGGAGGCAAAAACACAGATGGGTGACCATTTTAATGCTCTCTCAATTTTTGAACGAGGCTATATTACTAGGTACGAAAGCCGCTACACAAACCAGCATGCCTCCATTAACCAAATCCACGCTGTCCCAGAAGTCACTTGGAATTGCTCCTCTACCTCACCTCCCCGATATTTGGTCACCACCTCCAAAAGTCTCTAGAGTCCACCTCAACCAGTCCCACCACATACGCAGCTCACTGAACCTTCCCCCCGACTGACTGCAGCAGAAACGATCTCCCCATTGACGTGTCCTTCACTGATCCATCTTCTCTATCAGTGCTCACCTGGAGGGCTTGCTACTACGGAGAGAGAGAGAGCAGGAGACAGACAGAGAGAGAGGGAGAGAGAGACAGAGAGAGGGAGGGAGAGAAAAAGAAATCCACCCCAAATCATTCAATGTACCAGAAGTGTCCAAGTGCCAGTCAGGGGCATGGCGGTTTTGGTGGCTGGAGCCCACATAGCCAACCGCACAGTTTGAGTCTGGGACTTAATGGCCCAAAAACCACACTGGGCACATGTCTGTGAGACAGTGTCTAAAATCTTGAAAGGAAAGAGAAATGGACTATTCCCCATGGGGGGTACTTTCTCATTCCTACCCTCCTATCTCCAGTGAGCACATGTACTCTGGTAAAATTAAAAACAAAACAAAACAAAACATAGCATTCGATATACACTCATTAATTACATATACCCTAGAATGACATCAAACACATATTATGTATTCCACACTGTGTGTAAAAGTAGTGTTAAGAGATGGTATTTTATAAACCATAGGCAGTTTCATAAAAATGTCAGGCACTTTTTTTTTTTGGAGAGGTTTTTCGTATACAGTGTGTGCGCTCGCCAGAGAGACAGAGACAGACAACAGAAAGTGCAGAAAGTGAGAAATCACCCCCCTCGGGGGGGATAGCCATGCCACAATTCCTTCTCCTCCATTCTCCTCTCAGGATCTTGGGCACACACGCACATGCATGCACCTGGCATGAGTTTAAGCCACTGGGTCCAGGACTTGAACCATGGTTGACTACATGGGAGTCCAGCGACATAGACAGTACTCCAACTGCTGGTCCTGAAAACGTGAGGTGCTTTTAAAGTTGAATAATCCACTGGGTGATTGGCAACTCACCAAAGTGGAGGAAGGGGGTGTGTGAAGGAGAAATTCTCAATGTCCACTCTATTTTGAACTTAGATTTAATTATGTATCTGAAAGCCACCTACAAATCAAGACTAGTTATCCTGACTTGAGTAATGAAGAATCTTCGTTTCAAGTTTTATCACTTAAAGGTCTCCAGGTAGGAGCTGTGAATATCTTACATTAGACACCAGGGAAGTTCAAGCTACAGCAGGGGCCAGGCAACAACACTCTCTTTCAGTCTTTTTAAAAAAAAATTATTTATTTAATTTTTCTTATTATTATAAAAATTATTATTATTATTATTTTCTTTTTTTGGAGAGGTTTTTGCTATAGGATGTCTGTGTTCGCCAGAAAGATAGAGACAGAGAGACAGAAAGTGAGAAATCACCCCCCAGGGGGGATGGCTTGGGATCTTGGGCACGCATGCACACGCGCCCGGCGTGAGTTTAAGCCGCCGGGTCCAGGACTCGAACTGTGGTCGACTATGTGGGAGTCCAGCGACATAGCCGTTACGTTAACTGCTGGTCCCCAAAATTATTATTATTTTTAATTCACCAGAAAGGGATAGAGAGAGAGAGGGTGAGGGGGAGAGGAAGCAAAAGAGAGAAAGAGAGAGAAAGAGAACGCGACAGAGAGAGAAAGAGAAAGAGAGAGAAAGGCGACAGAGAGAGAAAGTGAGAAAGCAAGTTGCCAGGTCTGGGACTTGAACTGCAGTCAACCATGTGGAAATCCAGCATCTTAACCACCATGGCCCCTGCTGGTCCCTCTCTCTCTTTAAAAAAACAAAACAAACAAACAAAAAACAAGTAGATGGAGGCCAGCAGGTGGCACGGTGATTGGAGTGCTAGACTCCCACATGGCTGACTGTGGTTTGAGTCCCAGACCTGGTAGCTTGCTTTCTCACTCTGTCTCTCTGTAGCGAGCACATGTGGCCTACAGCAAATTAAAAAAATAAAAGGAACCAGCAGAGGGCGTAGTAGTTATGTTGCTGGACTCTCACATGGTCAACTGCAGTTCAAGTCCCAGACCCAGTGGCTTGAAACTCATGCTGGGTGCATAGGAGTGTGTGCCCGAAATCCTGAGGGTAATGGAGGAGAGGAGATTGTGGTTGGCCATCTCCCCTGGAGGTAAGTAAGTGTGTGTGTGAGTGTGTGTGTGTGTGTTTGTGATCTGCTGTGGGAGGCAAGCAGGTACTGTGCTGTGATGTAACACAGCCACTGAGTGACAACTGCCCTGACTTTTGGTTCAGTGCTTGTCTGCCACACAGAGCTGCCAAGTACTCGTCAGTATTTTCCTCTCAAATGAAAGGTGAGCAACCGACGTGTGGGAAAAGCTACCGTGTGAGGAATTTATATGCAGAAATTTGACCATTAGATCTAAAAAGCATTTCTAAGACAAATTTTAAAAAGTTTTGTCTATAAATATCAACTAGGTATTTTCAGTTTTAAGAACAGTATTTACTTATTTTTATTTATTTATAATTTATTAATTGCATACAGTTAAAATTTAGTAAGATGGGTGGCCAGCAGGTGGCGTGATGATTAAGGTGCTGGACTCCCACATGACTGACTGTGGTTCAAGACCTGGACACAGTAGAATGAAAATCACACTGAGTATGTGTATGTGCCCAAAATCCAGAGAGGAGAATGATGGAGAAAGGATTGTGGGGTGACCATCCCCCCTGGGTGGTGATTTCTCACTTTCCCTCTGTCTCTCTGGCAAGGTGCTCCATGGCAAAGACAAACAAACAAACAAAAACTATCAAGATGTGAGTTTGACTTCTATTGTGGAGGGTAGTTCTACTTTGATAGGTAAGTCACTTTTTTATAGTACTGAAAGAATTCATAAAGACCTGATATTACAAAAGTAGTTATATTTTGCTATTACAAAAGTAGTTATATTTTTCAAGAATCTATTAGGTTGTTGGGAAAGTCATGACACGTTTTTCTGTTTTTCTATACAAAACTGCGTCATGCCTTTCCCGATGACCCAATGTACTGGGTTAACAGCTGAGGTTATAGTATACTAAGGAGATGACACAGATGAATGTGACCCTAGTGACTTCATTTCATAAACAGATTAGTGGCTCACTTACGGCTGCTCTTCACTCCACATAGATAGCAGCAGTCTTCCAAGTCTGTAAGGGGTTGAAAAGTAAAATAGAAAAGATCTAAAAACATCTACATTTTCTACTTACTTGAGGTATCTTGGGCTTGTTGGTTTCTTCTAAGGTTTTCTCTCAGTACCCGGATCATTTCTTTCTGATGTTCTACAGTGGCTTTTGCAGCAGCAATTCTAACAAGAGCAATAAAAACACATAAAAGTCCAGCAACAAATACTCTTTATGGAAGAAAGAACAGAACCACTGTCAAGAATTTCTAATACATCACACTGACATCACATCTGTGAGCAGGAGAGAAGCCTGTGTGAGACCTCTCTGGTATCATGTACTTTATCGCTACACCACCATCTAATTAGAAACACTCTCTTTGCGGCTGGCAGGTGGCATGGTGGTTACGGTTCTGGACTCCCACATGGTCAATCATAGTTCAAGTCCTGGATGTGGCTTGCTTTCTCACTTTCCCTTGCCCTCTCTCTGATCAAATTAGAAACAAAAATAATAATGAATAAAATAAATAATTCTTAAAAAAAAGTACTGTGTTTGCAAAATTGGTACATTTTCTTGACATTCAGAAACTAGGTCTATTAAAATTTCTGGAGCCCAGTGGCTCTTAATAAGATATTAGACAAAATTATATGTGGAGATGCCACAAAACACAATTGGGCTGTTACCGCAGGCTCCTAGACATGTCTCGAAGGAATAATTACCAGACATGAAAGAACAAAGGCATCTCTGTTTCTAGTGTCAGGAAAGTAAATCCTGACCGCAGCTCTGCGCCCCAGTGACAGCCGAAGCCGCTCTGATCCTGGTTTCCGAGTGAGAGGCAGTTACGGCTGTGCACTTAGGCATCAATCAGCACTGGTAAGTTACAAGCCTTTCTGCCTTTCTACAGACAATAAAGTATCTGCTAATTCTACCCTTTGTGTAGTGAAGAACATACGGGGTATATGTCTCACTAAAGCGAATAGATCTTACCAACTGATGGCTGGTCAGACAGCCATGAAGATTCACAGGGTACTACTTTTGGGCAGAATTAGAGATCATTAAATAATTTAAGATTTATAGGAAACATGAAAAGTGTTAGGAACCAGAAGGTATCTTAAGACACCTCCTTTTATTGGTTGTGAGTGTAAGGACCAGATAGACCAAAAGGCTTGCTTCAGGAGGTGCCTTAAATGGGGGCATATTTCTAATTCAGTTTCTTGACTCCTTGTTTAATACTCTTGCTATGTTACACCACAAAGAACTTTAAGCATGCTGTTATGTGTAATACTACCCATAAATGAATCAATAAAAAGCATATGGTCTCTGTCCTTAGGCACCTATACAGTCAAAGGAAATAGAATCTTTATACAAAAACACAAGAAGAAGGACATGTGAAATTGAGAGAACCAACTGAAACCTTAGTCAAACTGCTAAACACACTCACGGGTTCTTCGTGTTCACTTTCAAGCATAAAAGGCCATTTTAAAGATGTTTATATGTGAAGTATTCAAAGACATAGTGTGCTAATTGATCAGAATTGTGCTTATTGTTTAAAACGTTGCATGTGGGAACCAGCAGATGGCATTACAGTTACTTTGTTGGATTCCTATGAGTCTACCATGGTTCAAGTCCTGGAGCTGGCAGCTCAAAACTCATACTACGAGTGTGTGGGTGTGCGTGTGCGTGTACACGCATGTGCCCAAAATCCCAAGAAGAGAATGGAGAAGGGATTGGGGCATGGTCATCCCCCTGGGGGGTGATTTCTTCCTTTCCGTCTCTCTGGCATGCGCACATACCCTATAGCAAAAATCTCTCTAACTCTGCATATGTAATGCAAGTTTAAAATCTGAGAACGTTTCCTTTTTTTTAATGAAAATTAACAATATTTTTTAAATTTTAAAAAGCTAACTAATGCAAAGAAATTTATATAGTTTATGAAGGAGATTTAGTCATTAAAGCTGTGTTCAATTAAGTCAAAGACATACTCCTTTTCAAATCCTTTGGTATCCTGCATCCTCTCGAGGTCTGCTTTCACCAGCTTCATTTTGAGATCTTCAATTTCTTCTTTATAGGGCTTAGCTCCTAAAGCAATTTTGCCCTAGAGAAAAGAAAAATTTAAAAAATGATTAGGACAGTTTCAATTTTTCCAGTTTTAAATAGTGGTTAGCTACTTTTGCTCTGGTTAAGAATGTTTTAAAATGGTAACCACCACTCCCCAAATTAGGAAAACCAGGAAATGAATCCATTTTAACTGACTGATAATAACTAGACGTTTGAACTGAAGTATGATCAGAGCTAATATATAATTAGAGATAATCACATTTCTTTCTGTTTTGTTTGTCAGTGCGTGTAAGTTTTCAGCAGTAAGAGAGGCTGGGGTGCCCTGGGGACACTGGCTTTCTTGCTGCTTCTCAAACATGTCTAGAATATTTCTCTTCCAGGATCTGTGCATTTTCTGTTTTCTGTGCCTGAAGACTCTCCCTTGGTTACACAGTTCACCCTACCACCTTCTTCGGATCATCTGATCTCGGTGTGACTCTCCTTTATTCCTCTGATAAGGTGAACTCTCTTTCCCCACACAGGCCCATGTTAGCCTTGCCTGGTTTAATTTTTTCTTTTTCCCTTGTACTTGTCAACATGTGACGTACCCCTGGATCTGTGTAACACCCCCATTTACATTTTACATGTTAAGGTCATTTATTTTCTGTCTTCCTGCTGGCACAGACGCTGCCTTTTTTCACTGCATCTGTCAGTGGGACAGTGATGGACACAGCTGGGCTCAGCAAATGTCTTGAATAAATAAAAAATGTGATCACTGATCTGTTTTATAATATGAAAAAAGTTACTTTCAAAGTTCTACAACCTTGCAGTTAGATTTCTTGGTTTCTAGATCTACCAATAATTGTGTACAAAAATAAAAAGATGAACATTATTTTCTCTTGCCTCTCTGCTACTGTCTCATTGAATGCACCCAAATTTTTAGAACGAGGTTAATGAAAAGAGCAGGCACCCTTGACTCGCTCCTAACTCTAACTCAGGGAAGAGGCACTGGAGGGGGCGGCAGACTGTGATGCCTCTCAGAACCAGACTCGAGCAGCAGAGGTGTGTGAAGTGGCTGGAGTGGAACCAAAGGCAGGGGTAGGTGTGATAAACGAGGTGACTCGTCTAACGCCGGTCCAGACCACGAGGCTGCCTGGCTCAGTGACGGGGGCAGTGCATAGGAAACACATTCGTATATGCACTTATCTAACAGTGTTACAGATTTAGATAAGAAGTAACTTTGTTTTTGAAAATGAAAAAAATATATTTTAAACTATGAAGAACATTCATGTATTTCAAAAATTATTTTTCTAGCATGATAAAATATTTTACATAAAACTATGGTCTTGCATTTCGTTTCTAAGTTAAATCACTTCATTTTTTTCAAAGCTTGAATATTCAGACATATACAGATCACAGAGCTGCAGTGACAACGGGGGAATGGAGAACGAAATTAGTGCCGCATTCAACGGGTTGAAAAACAAAACCATTTTTACTGTAAAGTGAATCCCAGTTACCTCAAGTTCTTGGATTGTTTCTTTTGTTTTTTTGAGGTACTTATGTGATTCATTGACTTCGGCTTGAAGTTTCGTTACTTTGTCGTTAGTCATCTCGAGCTCTTTCTGCATTTTTATAATCGTGCCTTCCTTGTGTCTAGCACTCTCCTGAGCTCCACGCAGTGAGGTTTCTAGCTCCCGGATTTTCTATTAGACAAAGAGAAGAAGGAAGTAAGATCTCGCATGGAGACAGAGCCACACACACACACATCTGGGACAAAGACGACATAGCATTATTAATTTCTCAGACTGCATTTACAAGGACAGAAAAGAGAGGCCAAATACCACTCAATCTAGAAATAAGATTTTGTTTTCATTTAGAAGATATTTCAATTAAAATCAATAAGCCATTATTTTACATTAAAATTTGTCAGCAAATTCTGAACCATGCAGATAAAACCAGCATACAGGTCATGTACTTGCTGTTAGCACAACGCCTTGCACATTCAAGAGACACTCACCTTCCGAGGGACACTGCTTAAAAAATACACATAGGGCAGAGCCACAGTGGTGCACAGATAGCACTGCTGTCTGGGAGTGTGGAAGCCGCATGGGAGACACAAGTTCAATTCCCAGGCCAACCTGAACACGCTGGGAGCACCAGCAATCCTGCCTAATTGAGAGGCTGGGGCAGGAGGATCGTAACACGGTGAGCCCCTATCAGAATACCTACTTCTTCTCTCCCTTTCACTCTTTCTCTCCTAAAGAATGTGTGTGTGCGGGGGGCAGGGGGCTGAGGAAAGCACATTTGTTAATTGACTCTAATGCACCTGACATAGCTTTCCCTTTATTTTTATTAATTACTTTTATGGATTTTTATTATAATCTTAAATGACATTCTACACATGTATAGGATACAGTGTGATTTTTAAAAGAGTTATTTTATTTATTCATTCATTTATTTTAATTTGACCAGACACACACACACACACACACA